AGGCAGCCTTTAACCACTTTCCTTCAGGGCATTTTTACCCCTTCGTGCCCAGGCAAGTTTTCAGCTTTCAATGCTGTTGCACTTTGAATGACAATTGCGCAGTCATGCAACACTATACCCATATAACATTTTAATAATTTTTTTCACACAAATAGAGCTTCCTTTTGGTGGTATTTAATCGCCACTGGGGTTTGTATTTTTTGCACTATAAACAAAAAAGAGCAAAAAATTTGAAAAAAAAAGTTTTTCTTTGTTTCGATTATAAAATTTTTGCAAACAGGTAATTTTTCTCCTTCGCTGATGTGTGTTGATGAGGCTGCAGTGATAGGCAGCACTGATGGGCACTGATGAGGTGGCACAGATAGGCAGCACTGATGGGCACTGATGAGGCGGCACTGGTGGGCATTGATGAGGAGGCACTGGTGATGCTGCACTGATATGCAGCAATGATAGGCATTGATAGTTGGCACTGATGGGCACTGACAATTGGCACTGATAGGCGGCACTGAGAGCACTGACTGGTGGCCCTGCTGGGCACTGATGGGCGCAACTGCTGGACAGCACTGATGGGCAACACTGCTGGGCACTGATATGTGGCACTGCTGGGCACTGGTGGGTGGCACTTCTGGGTACTTGTGGGTGGCACTGCTGGGCACTGATGGGTGGCACTGCTGGGCTCTTATGGGCAGCACTGCTGGGCTCTGATGGGTGGCACTGATGATCAGGACACTGATCATCAGTGCCCTGATCATCAGTGCAGATCTGCTCTGTGTGACGTTTGCTGGTTATCGGCAGTACTTTCCTCACGCTGTTACAGCGTGAGGAAAGTGCTGCCGATAACCGGAAACTGTATTTACTTTGTGATCTGCTGGTGATGTTAAAAGGCCACTGTGATTGGCCTTTTATCTAGTCATGTGATCAGCTGTGTCCGAAGGACACAGCAATCACTGACAGCGCCGGGTGTGTGGTGCTGGGGCGCGTTCTGGGAGGACGTCATATGACGCCCTCCCAGAACTAGACAACCGCACTGTAGTCATCATTCAGCTATAGCACGGTTGTAAAGTGGTTAAAATTCTGCACTATCTTGAGGCACCCATTACAAAATGTAAAAAACGAAACTAGTTTTACAGAACACAGCAACATCTGCACATGTGAGACCCCAACGTCAGAGGTGATTTATTCTTTCAAAGCAAATACACCCTTTGCACACTGAGGCTCCATGCACACGGGGCATTTTAATAACGCTGGTAACGTTAGCTGTGTAAAGTCATGTTAAAAACGTGAGTTCTTCAGCGTTTTTTAGCGCTTTTGTATTAGCATTTTGCAGAGTTATTTCACATTTGCGGTTTTTTTGGTAAAAAAAGTCCAAAAATGCTTGTTTGTCGTGATTTGCAGTGATTTACCACGTTTTTCAGCATTAGAGCATTTTTACAGCTAAACACTACCCTAGAAACCCACTAGTTCTGGGTTTTTTTCCAGCCAAAAAATGTCCCTGCCAAAAAAACGTTGATTACAGTCTATGTGTGCATGCACACATAGGATAACATGCTGGGGAGTTTACTGACTGTAAAAAAAAAACAACGTCAAAAGCCAAAAACAGCCGCTGTAAAAACATCCAGTGCGCATGAGGACTGATACTGACTAGTATGCTTTTGTTTCTCTCTCTCACTCAGCTAACGTGACCCCAATGCTGATGGAAAGGGGCAGGGGAAGGGCAAGCAAGGATGCTGTGCAGGTGCCCAATATCCTCCTTATCAACTGATGGCATCATTGGTTTTTTTTAGCAGGTCGGCAGCTAGGAAGTTGTAATGGTGTACAATACAAACCTGTAGCTTTGTGCAACTAAAAGGCAGGCCTGATCCACATGCTGGCTTGTATCAGGTTTTTGGGCATTTTACCAAGGCACCCCTGAAGAATCCTGAAGGCACCCGAGGGTGCACCCTGGGCACCCTGGTTGAAAAAGGCTGCTTTATTGTATACAAAAGGAAGACCTCAGACACAAACATGTTTTATTTTCCAAGCAAGATTGTTACTTTAGATAGTATAAATACATACATACCACTTAGAACATAAAATACAGCTGCGTCATTTGCAGTGCCAATGTGTGACGTACAGTAGCCCATAATAACCTATCTAAGCTGAGTTATTACTGATCCGACAAGGCTAACGGTCTGCCACGGGGGTTGTTGCACTTGATAAATGGGACATTTTGTTGCAAATTGCATTTCATCCTGTTACATGAAAATCATACTTCAGTTTTGATGGATGCCATATCTTAGGGACTCAGCTTGCTGCACCTAAAGCAACTCAATGAGATCTTGTGTTTTCCTGGTTAGGCCACATGCGTAGTGCGCCCAGGAGCCACGGTGTCCAGCCCCAGTCAAAGTCTATGGCAGGCTGAAATTTACTGCAGCTGGATGGGTCTAAACATTGGACCAAGTGGTACTCGCATTCAGGGCCGTATGCTGGGACCATTCCCCATAGCTCTGAGGCTATGAAGAAGCATGGGGAAAGTTAGCTTGCTGGAATGGGGGACTATCAGGAGGCCCTAAAAGCCTAAGGGCTTGTTTACATATGTGTTGCCTCATATAAAGCAAGAGCAATCTGCGGTGGATCGCTCTTCAGAGAGGGTTTTATGCTACCTCCTCACCGCCGGTTTAACCCCTAAAAGCCCACACAGCAGTTCACGGGGTTGCAGCACGGCTCCATTCAGTTAAGTGGATCATGTTCGGCAGAGATAAATTTTGCTGGCCCTGATGCAAAGCAAATATCGCGGCATATGCACGCCCCCATCCACTGCATTTGCAGCTTAAAGTGGTTGTAAAGGCTCCATGTTTATTACCTTCATGCATACGTTGCATTACATTTTGTGTGCAGCAGACCCCATAATACTTACCTGAGCCTCATCGCGATCCAGCGATGTGCATGAGAGCCTCGGCTCTTCAAGGGCTCTCCCTCTTCATTGGTTAGGAGGCTGTCAATCACAGCTAGTGTGCCAATGAGGAGAGAGAGGGGGTGGAGCCAATCTGCAGCTGTGTGTGTGAATGGACACGCAGATCAGTGGCTCGGGAGCAAGCCTGCTTGGGTGCCCCCATTGCAAGGTACTTTCTGTGAAGGCAGTTAGCAGGAGGGAGGGGCCAGGAGCACTGGTGGGGGACCCAAGAAGAGGAGGATTAGGGCTGCTGTGTGCAAAACCACTGCACAGAGCAGGTAAGTATGACCTGTTTGGTATTTACAAAAAAAAAAGAATTGCCTTTAATGTAACTTTAAGGGGGGGAGGTTGGAGGGGGCAGTAAAAACACATCTCAGCCAAATATTTTTTACTGCCCTCAATCACAAGTGTAAATGAAGCCTAAGTTTTCTGCCTAGGGCTAGTGTACAAGGGAATTTTAATTTTTTATCTGACATTAGTTAGAAAAGCATTGTTGACAGCTGTGGAAAGCAATGTTTAAAATGGATCATAGAATTATGCTGCACTTGCATTGATTGTTGCTTTGATTCCTTCATACAAGTTAAAGTAGCTGTAAAGGCTAAAATATTTTTTTTTAAATAACAAACACGTTAAACTTACCTACTCTGTGCAATGCTTTTGCATAGAGCGGCTCTGCATCTCCTCTTCTGGGGTCCTCATCCAACGTTCTTGGCTTTCTATGGGGGTGCACATGCGTTCTCACTCCCAAGCTGGGTTATGTGCGTCCATAGACACACAGAGTGACTTGGCCCTGCCTGCTTCTCACAAGATTTGATTGACACCGGCAGGAGCCAATAGCTCCCAATGCTGCCTCTTTGACCTGTAAATTCAGGGAGAGAGGAGAGAGCCGTTGCAAACAGGCACAGCACTGGATCGAGTGGTACAAATACTGGGGGTGAGAGGAGGGGTGATACAAATACTGGGACTTTTTTTTACCTTAATGCAAATGCAAGGAATGCATTAAAGTAAAAAATGTCCTGCCTTTAGAACTACTTTAATGTGACTGCATCTCAGACATGCCCAAAGGCAGACCATTTTCCTGTGCTTGACCTGCTTCTGAGTCAGAAGGCTGTGTACACTATCCCCAGTAAGGTTCTGTAGGAGTAGTTCCAAATAAATAGCACATGTTTCAATGATCTTTTACCCAAAGAGCACATACAACTGTTAATGAATTGAAAATCGCAGATATTGTGAAATTTTGACATATCTTTTCACTTTTAAGATCGAAAATCTCAGATGATGGATACTCACAAGAGGGAAATGGAGTTTCTAAGTAACAGCATAGCAGCATATGCTCATATTAGAGGTACGGTACTGTATTTGATTCTAAAATGTCTTTAGAGCTTATAAATGTAAACATATGGCAGCCCGGAGTTGCAATGCAGAAAGTGTGTTTTAGCCAACGAGACAGATGACGTCAATGTGGTCAGCTCTTGGTGATGTTCTTCCATTTACTGATGTGACATAATTGCCAGTGCACCGGAGGCTTCTACACAAACACTGCTAATGTCCTGAGGCTTAATGTGATCTTCTGCTCTTTAGCTGGCCAAACATTGATCGAAGTTTGGCCAGTTCAGCAGGGACCAGATACATTTTGATCTATGTATAGGCACTATGGTTGAACAGAAGTCCTTGTGCTGACTGACCACATTTTCAGTATATTCTCGCTCAGTCAGCGCCAAAGCTGCAGTGTTGATCTGTGTATTCTGATGGTGGGGGAGTCTCTTCACTGTCAGAATACAACCACACAGCAGAGGATTCCCCCATCCACATTGAATGCATGGATGGTGGAATTGGGTCAGTTTTTTTGTTCAACCCCCTTGTTGAAAAAAAATACTGATCCATGGCCTTCTTTAATATCAAGCACCCAAAAAGCTTTCTTTTGTGCAACAGTTTCAGAAATATCTCAATTGTGAACAATAGTGTTTGCCTCTTTTACAGCTCTTGGGTTCTGAATAAAGTTGTGAGTACTGTAAACCTTACAGCTGTTAGATTCATGCATACAGCTCTAATAGGGGAAAAATGTAGTTACATAATAATAATAATAGTAATTAAAAAAAAAAAAAAAATATATATATACACCGTATTTTTCACCCCACAAGACGCACATGACCATAAGACACGCCTAGTTTTTAGAGGAGGAAAACAAGAAAAAAAATATTCTGAACCAATGGACTGCAGACATAGTATAGGAAATGACCAGAGACTGCAGATGTACTACAGGAGATGACCAGAGACTGCACACATAGTACAGTAGATGACCAGAGACTGCGGACATAGTACAGGAGATGACCAGAGACTGCAGATGTACTACAGGAGATGACCAGAGATTGCAGACATAGTACAGGAGATGACCAGAGACTGCGGACACAGTATAGGAGATGACCAGAGACTGCGGACATACCACAGGAGATGACCAGAGACTGTGAACATACTATAGGAGATGACCAGAGACTGCAGACATATTACAGGAGATGACCAGAGACTGCGGACATAGTACGGGAGATGACCAGAGACTACAGACATAGTACAGGAGATGACCAGAGACTGCGGAGACATACTACAGGAGATGACCAGAGACTGCGGACATAGTACAGGAGATGACAAGAGACTGCGGACATAGTACAGGAGATGACCAGAGACTGTGGACATAGTACAGAAGATGACCAGAGGCTGCAGACATAGTACAGAGGATGACCAGAGACTGCAGACATAGTACAGGGGATGACCAGAGACTGCGGACATAGTACAGGAGATGACCAGAGACTGAAGACCTTTGGGGAGCAGGTACCCCTATTTGACAGGTACCCGCTCCCACTTCCGCTGCCTAGGTGAACGGAAGTGGAAGTTGTCCTCCCTCCCCGTAGTTTTCTGGGACATGTGACAGGTAACGCACGGACATTTTCCCCCATTTTTTGGGGGGAAAAAAGTATGTCTTATGGAGCGAAAAATACGATATATATATATATATATATATATATATATATATATATAATTTTCATACAAACACACTGACTTTTTCCTGTGTTTGTTACAGTAAATACTGCAATGGAAGACTATGCACAGGTATGTGCATAAACAAGGTTACATTATTTGCACAATAGAACCTCACCATTAACAGCAACCCTAAAGTATGGTGTAGTTCTCTTTTGGGGTGGGGGTAATGAGAAATGGCTCTCCCCAAACAGGATATTTCGCAAGCCTGTAGGAAAATAAAAGAACCAGGACCTTTGCTAAGTGGAGGAGTGGGATTGATAATAAAGTTGGCAGTTCCTTCACCCAGGACAGGGCCTCTGGGAACAGAAGGAATTTCCTTCCTGGGCTATTAATCATCAATCTAATCAAAGTAATGGGAGAAGAGGAACTACTGCAACCATCATATAATATTAACCATAAAAATATACTGTAGATGCACAGCAGTATGGAAATAATACAAGCTTTATATAGGAAAAGATTCATAATAGTACATACATCCAATGTACAAACAGCTGTTATGAGCAAGGTACCCAACAAGAGTCCTGGTGGAATTGTACAGCTATACTCAAGAATATGTAGTTATTAATACAGATACCTCCAGACAAATATTGCAGCAAAGTCCATTTGCAGGGGCTACTGAGGATACAGCATTCGTCTTTGTGTCAGGGACCTGAAGACAAGCACTGCAGTGATGGGGAGAACTTTTAGCTGTTGTCCAGCCTGCCTGGTATGCAGCTTTTCACCTGCAGAAACCAAGGTGTGTTACTGAGTCAGCCTATCTACCCTGTGCTTAGTCCCTAGTAGCATCTAATCTGTCATGCAACCAGCCATCTGACTATCAAGTGGCCCAACCTGGCTCTACCCTATGCTGGTTATTGAGTCCTGAGCTAGAACTAGCTATTGAATTCCAGGCCAGAATGGACAGGGTTAACTAGATTAACAAGAGCTGCATATAAACTCTATTGCAATAAACAGGTTCTCCTACTAACATACAGCAAGGTGACCACTACACATGCACACTGGGTTACAGACTAAACTATCTGGTATACGGCATGTGAGATAACAAGGCAACATATGTATTTCTGTCATCATCAGCTATAGGCAGCTATATATAGGCAATAGTAAACTATTAACAGAGGAACACTTACAAAATAACTCCTGCTTCTAGCCTGGAACAACAACAGTTCTACTATGGGGGTATATGGTCTCAGCTACAATCTCACCACTTTCTCCTTCCCGGGTTTTTCAACCCAGCCAAGTGGAGACAGGAAGAGATGTACATGAACAACCTGGTCATATTAAAAGCAGAGTTATCCACAAATACAGACAGCAGAGGACAACAGATCTCTCCAATTTAATTGCAGTTTTAGGGTACGTTAAACAGGCATCAGGGCTGCACTTGAATTCCTCCAACACCCCCTTATTTTAGCTCAGCTCAACCAGAGTAGTGCTGGTGGCTGGTATGGAACAAATTAAAATACTGCTGAAGGTACGTCAGTGTAAGCAAATAAGACTTGATTTTTATTTGTCTTGATGTACATGAACACTGCAGGCATAATGTTTGGAAAGTTCAGTTTGCTTTCTATTAACTTACAGTGCAACCCCGCCTAAAGAAGAAAGATTGTAAGAAATAGAAAATCCCCATTAAATCCCCCAGGGGACCAAGTGTAAATAGCATTTGGTCAAGTATAAATCTGTGCAGTGTTGAGCTAGTGTTGTCAGCTATTCCTCTCTCCTTTGAATAGCTGGTGGGATGAGAACAGTCTTTAACCTGTCAGTAAAATGAAATATTGTCAATATAAAGAAGGTAACACAGGAGAGAGGGCACAGGGCTGCAGCATGAAGAGGGGGAGGTGGGTTCAGTGCTGGCTGTAACTCCTCTATATGAATGCCCATAAATTGGGCTTCAGCCTTGGGTGGAGCTAAAGCCTGCACAGACAGTGAAGAAAAATATTTTTTTTCAAAACCACTGCACAGATCTTAACAGGTCTAAGTGATATGTGCATTGGGTCCCCTGGGGAATTCAACAACATTTTCAATTTCTGGTGATAATTTTTCTTTAAAGTGGATCTTTATGCCTCCACCCCTCCTTTTTATTTTAAACCCTGCTTACCTGGTTCTAGGTCCTGCACAGTTAAGATACTCACCTGCCCAAAGGATTTAGTGTTGTCCTGTTGAGATCCGCTTTTCTTCTGGCCCCTGCTCGGTCCTGTGCCACCATCTTCTTACATGATACCATTGGGAAGCTGCTGGCTCTTCTGGATTTAGCTGCTCTCCTGATGATGCACTGCTAAGCCTGCCCCCCTCCTGTGAGTGATGTTCAGGGAGGGGATAGGCCAAAGGTTTTGTATTAAAAAAAAGTAAAAGAAAAAAGGCCCAATTTTCAAAGTGGAGGGGAGGAGAGGTGGAGAGGAGGCAACATCACATTGAGGGTGAAGATCTGCTCTAAATTGCATTCAGTTCAGATAGTTACTGTCAGGGCCAGAGTGTATCATGGATGAGGCCTGTGTACCTTTACCTTAAGAGTAGAATATATAGGAGAAATGATGACCACATATAAAATAAAAGAGCTAGCACTGGAGCTGATGCATGAAAACGGGAATGAAGCAGGGCTTTTTCCCATTGCCATCATTTGGAAAGCTTTTTACACGTGAAAAAAGAGTAATCAGTTGCGGTGGCCAACAGCTCCAATTTCCGCCCAGTTCTTCATAAACTATTCCTTAAGCACACCATGTGACATACTGCAAGGTGGTCATATGTGGCCTGACATTTGTAAGTAGTAAACCGTATTCAAACATCGGCTGCAACAATCAGACGGGAATTTTGTTACGTAGAGACAAATGACAGGCAATTCCAACAGTCAGAAGTATTTGTAATCACAGGCAATACTTTTTAAAAATGCTCAGGATTTCCTTTCCAATAGAGAAAAAATTCTGTTCACTGAATGTGTGCTCCATTCACTTTTTAAATAAGGGTGGAGGGCATTGTTGTGGTTCCTGGCAGTATAGATAACAGATAAACAGACATTTCATTGGCTATTACTTACACTAAGACATCTACCAGCCTCACATCTACTGCTAAACAAACTTACTTTCAAAAACATAAATGAATTTGTATGAGCAAATATCTCTGCATGTTAAAAAAAAAAAAAAGAAGTTATTGACACAAGTATTGACAAATTCTTACTGTTCTATGACTAATGCCATATTGATTGATATAAAATGACTTTTTAATGTAGCTAACTGACAAACCAATAACTACAATAACTGGAACTCTGAATTGCAATGAGTATTTTGACATACAATTTACCATTTTGAACCTTTGTTTTTAGATAACCCGGAATCCTTTGGTCTTTACTTTGTGCTTGGAGTATGCTTTGGACTGATATTAACACTGTGTATGCTGGTGATCCGCATCTCTTGCAAGCCTCGGACTCCCAGCGTTCCTTCTAAACCAAAAAAGACTCCTCCCAAAGACTGTGTAAAAGAGCCACTGTCTGTTGTAGTGGATGGAGAGGATCCAGACAGCGATGACAATGAAGAAACATTTATCTTGACCCCTGTGACAGACACACCCCTAGGAGCCCAGACCCCACTGGATGGTACTCTGTCAGTCAATGTGTTCACCTCAGCAGAAGAGCTGGAGAGAGCCCAGAGGTTAGAAGAGAGGGAGAGGATAATCCGAGAAATATGGCGGAATGGACAACCTGATATTCTGGGCACAGGAACGGGCACCATTGGACGCGTACATTACTATTAATGGTAACACAAGAAGTTAAACTGAAGTTGGTGCTATTTCTCAGCAGTTAAAATGCAACTGCCTTTCCTTGTCTTCCAACGTACAGAATATCAGATATCCAGGCACATTCCTTCAAGTACCTTTATCTTATTAGACCAGTAACTTTCCACTAATATGGATGCCAATGGATATCTTTCTAAAAATATGAAAGAATACAGAGTTTAATGATGCCGTTGCTGCCTAGTGGTGGATCAGAACTTGGAATAGTTTCATAGTATGATGGTACGCGGCACTTATAAAAGGTCACAGCTGACCAAACACATATATTATGCCACTGATGGTACCATATGTCTTGGGTGATCTTTTACATGTTGGGCACTTTCCAGTGCCATGATTCACTATGGCCTCTGAAATGTAAAATTCAAAAATGAAAGCTCTGGTAATCATTACATAAAGGCGTATAAGAATGAGTGTAATGATTTTAAGATTTTCTAGACATGCTACCCAGGAAAAAGGTTATTGCAACCAGCATTTCTTTTCACTATCTTATATGGATCCTTTATGATAACATCAGTTCACTTTTGGGTTGTCTGTCTTTTCAATCACAGTGTGATATGCAGGTAAACTGCTGGTATCCATCCTGAGATAGTATACAATGTATATGTGGAGGTTTCTGATGCATAGGATGATAAATATATGTGTAAAGCTGGGAAAAAAATCCAACTGGGAAATGTATACAGAGGTTCTGCATTTGTTGTGTGTGTGATTTAGTCCTCATGCACACTGGATGTTTTTACAGCTGCTGTTTTTGGCTTTTGACGTTTTTTTCTACAGCCAGTAAACCCCCCAGCATGTTATCCTATGTGTCCATGCACACATAGATTGTAATCAATGTTTTTTGGATGGGACTTCTTTGGCTGGAAAAAAAAACCAGGACTATTGGGTTTCTAGAGGAGTTTTTTGTACCTGTAAAAACGCTCTAATGCTGCAAGCCGGCATTTTTGGACTTTTTTTTAACCCCCTCAAAAAAAAATTTTCTAAATAAAAAAAACCCGCTAAAAACCAAAAACGCAGGAAAACTCCAATAAACGCCAATGCAAAAACGCTAAAAAAAGCTGAAAAACTCACATTTTTAACATGACTTTACACAGCTAACGTTACCATCGTTATCAAAACACCTTGTGTGCATGGAGCCTTATATCTGTTCACAGAAGCACATTGACAAATAGAAAAATATACAGTGTACAAAAACATACACTTCAATCCTTGCAGCATGTTTCAAAATCTATTTGTGACTCTACATGGATGATGTGTTCAGCCTTGTGATGTAATTTATTTCTCTGGGTGAGGCAGTGCGGCATTACCTTACGATTAACTCTAAATATGCTGGAACATGCAGTACCGGATAACAACCATACATCCTTGTGCCTTGTACTGTACAGTATGTGTAAGCCTGTTCACGGTTTAGTAATCTGTAGCAGGCCTGCCTCTGCAATGGGTTAACCAGTCTGCAATTTATTATAGGACTTTCTGGCCTCTTGGTTTAAAATACATCTGTTTTTCTTCTTGTTCCCCCACACTGTGGGAACACTGGTGCTTTAAGTTTCATTCCTGAATCTCCCCTGAGGATAGAACATTCCACATTAACATTAAATGCTCCCACACGGGCAATGTCAGGAAGTGATTTTTTTTAATAAAAACTTTATTTAAAGCACTGATTTATTTTTTTTCTGTAAAAGTTGCTCTGATGTTAGTTTTGCATACTAAGTTGTTACATTCTTTGCCCTTCTTGGAGCTTTTTTTTTTAAAGCTTACCTTAAAGACAGAGGTCACAAGGTAACTATTGATTTGACCACTGCACAATCTTTCTTTTGCTCATTATGCACATTTCCTACAAACATGTATGTACTGTATATGCACTGCAGACTCTTCCACCAACACTGGCAGATGTATTAGTTGGTACTGAGTACACAATCCAATCTACAAAAATGTCCTCTGACATCTACAGTGTGTTTAACTACAGACGTCCTGATCATTACTCAAGCCTACTTATTTAGACAATCTTCTAACTTCTATATGCACACCTTCTAGCCTTATAAATATGGTGCTCTCTTGCATTCAACATAAGTATTCTTCCATGTTTTGTCCAGCTCTCAAAATTTCTCCTAGCCAAGGGGGCCAGGTTGGGGTGAGCAGTGAAATAGAATAGGTCTGAAGCATCAAGCACAGCAAGCCAAAATGCTGCAGGCAACATCTCTGGGAATTCTAAGTAAAGCTGATACTTCACTAAGTGCCTGTGTGTGTTAATCTGGGTACACACGATACGTTTTTTTTTTTTCATTCAAATAGTGGGTTGAACGAAAAAAAAAATCACAAATACCAACATCAACACAAGCATGTTGATGTAGGGACCTCTCCTGCCTTGTCTTTGTAGACAGGAGGGGGCCATTGGCTGCAAATGCTGATTGAATGTTGGTTTTCCAGTAGGATCATTCAATAGAAGCCGGTCTAACGACCGCTTCTGTTGATCAGTTTTACACACCTTCAAAAAGTAGGCAGGTATGTGTATAACTGCATGGATCAATCCACCCTTTGAGATCTGGCATTAGGGAGCATTCATTTTGATACCCTTTCAAATGGCCTAAAGCCTGGTACACACTACTAGATTTTTTTCATTCATTCCAGCAGGTTGAATAAAAAAAAACCTGACAGCTCGGGAGGAGCCGCTGTACCAACTATCCAATGTTAGTACAGCGGTCTTCCTTGCTGTGCTATTGTGTTCTGACAGGGTGGATGGCCCCCGCCAGAACACTCCGATCAGCGCTCTCAGCCAATGGGAGCCAATCAGTAGACCTTTTATGGTCATGCCCCTTTGAAAAAAGCCGGCCCAACGGCCGGCTTCTGTCAGACCATCTCCCCTACACATGGGCCGAATATTAGGCTTAAGTGGGTTTTTTCCTGTGTAGTAAGTGATAAGATCTGTTCTCATACTAAACTAAATGTTGCTGTGTCAGTTTATCATTGGATAGGTCTATAGATATCTTAGGACATGGGAGTCAATCTGGCGGCCCTCCAGCTGTTGCGAAACTACAAGTCCCATCATGCCTCTGCCTTTGGGAGTAATGCTTGTAACTGTTAATCTTGCAATGCCTCATGGGACTTGTAGTTTGGCGACAGCTGGAGGGCCGCCAGTTTGACACCCGAGCTGTAGAATATAGAAAAAAGTTTTTTTTTAAAAAAAAAGGTATGTCCATTCTGGGTAATGGGAAAATGTTTCATCATTTCCAAATGATTCTAATTATTATAAGTAGGGACTAGTGGTGGAAACACTATTGAACCTTCCAGCTCTGACTATATGTACTGTATGTGTACAAAATTAGACTTAACATGAAATTCTAACATTATCGACATGTAGTCACCATGCAGCAAATTCTTACTGTAGCCATACTTTAGCACTGTAACCTTTTGCCTAAAAATAAATATCTAAATGTCCCCCCCCCCTTTAGAAAATCGGGCAGTGTGTATTAGTTGTCTGTAATAAGTCTGAATTTAATTAGTAAATTCCATATTTAAGGTGCACAAGTAAATAGTGGCCAGCCACAAGTCACTTTTTATCAGTTTTCTGACAGGCTGCTGACAGCTATGGCCTTCTTGGTTACTGTAGGTTAAAGATTATCGCTTATCTTTGCACTAACTTATTAAATATTCTACAAAACTCCTTTCTCATAGGAAAATAGTGCTAAAGACAGAGGAGACAGAGTTCTAGCAAGCCATTTTTAGGTTGTGGGCTGCTGACGTAGAAGGAGGATAGACTGAGCTCTTGAGAGCGACCCATTCTTTCCCAAATGTTTGTAGAAGCAGTCTGCATGCCTAGGTGCTTACACCTGTAGCCATGGAAGTAACTGGAACACCTGTATCCAATGATTTGGAAGGGTGTCCAAATAATTATGGCAATATAGTGTATGTGTTCATACAAATGTTGCATACAAAGTAACGCAGGCCATACATGGGTCAAATTCTGAACGATTTTGCGTCTGAAAATCGAAAACGTTGTTTGCTCGGTAATTCGATGGTGCCATGAATGATTTAAAAAATTGCCCGACCAAGTCATAAAGTTCACCCCATATAACAGGCAAAACTTCTGTTCCTTCTAGGTCATGGCTCATGCGCATATTCGTTTCGGAAAAATTATCGTACGATTTGACTATCACTGAGTCGAAAATCGTTTGTTTTTCATGCATTTTCCAACATAACCGATCACTGAAAAGAGGACAAACCATGAAAATCGGCCGGTGCCATTGACCCACTAACAGAGCGAAAAATATTCTTAGGTCTGATTTTCGGACAAAAAATTGGTTGAATTTCGACCCATGTATGGCATAAGGTGTTCGCCACCTGTGCGATAAAGACAGAGTTCTAGCAAACCATTTTTAGCCTGTGGGCTGCTGACTTAGAAGGTAGGAGGATCCTGATGCCTGACATACTGTAAGCATGTGATGAAAGATGAGTTATTTTTTAATGAATGAGAACGTTTTGCTTGATTTTCTTAGATAGAGTAGGTGAATGGTATAGTAGTGTACTATAATTTAGTAGGCTACAAAAGACTGCCAGTGACAAATAAAGGCCCATATGATGTGCAATCTTCAATGTATAAAATAAAAAAAAAAAAAAAAAAAAAAGAAACATTTTTGTACATGGCAAAATATTAAAGTGCTGTATTTTATAAAATGTAATTCTGAATTTTATGCTATAGTTTTATTTTCTATGTTTTTGGAACTCTATTAAATTGTTTTCAAATACAAGTCTGATTTTCTTTTTTCTTTTCTTTTTTTTTCAAATAAATAAATAACCAAATAACTGTACTTTTCTAGCCATAGCAAAAACCACTGTAGTGACAGTTTATTGGAAGGTTACAGAAGTAGATTGCTAGGCCTTTCTTCCACAGAGGAATCCTATTAGTATGTTTTTGAACTGTGTGTGTATGTAGGGGTAAGAAGGAGGGTATGGAGACCAGAGCAGCC